TCTTTGAGGTTTTATTACAATCAAGCAGTACGTAGATCTTGTGAAACAAATAAACATTTCCATGCTTGCAGCCACCACTGCTTGATATACAGCTAAGGGAGCTAACTCCAGATCTTGCATAGTGACTAAATGGTCCTCACCTCTGAATGAATTGCTCCTATGCTTGAAGGGGCCAAGGATAAGAAGCCTCATGTAAACGGACTAGAAAATCTTAACAGGCCTGCTTTCTGTCTGAACTGGGAGTCTTTGTTCTGCTTTCTCCAGGTGATAGACATAAATAGACAGGGCAGGTAGAATTAAGTCAATTTATTCAAATATATACAGCAGCCTATAAGCCCACGCAGCTTCCATTTATTATCCTGTCTCTGGGTTTGAGCGGCGGCGAGAGACAGGGAAAAAGGCTGTTAGTGCCTGTGTACCAAGTGACTAAGCGGAGGCATTTGTGCTCACACACACGCAAGGAAGATCCCATGGAAAGGCAGTGGAGGAGAAGAGCTGCAAGACTGCTGCAGTGGAGTGGAAGGAGAATGTTACGAAGGCAAGGAGAAGGACATGACCATGCCCAGTGGTTCTGGCTTGGAGGGAGAGTGAGTCATCACGCTGAGCAACCCTGTCAATGGACACTAGGGAGCAATGGGGAAAAAACGACACAGCGTGTTCATTATGCAAGGATTTGCCTCTCCTTGGGCAGTGTTTCCACACACATTCCCATCATTCAGTAGGCGTACCGGTCACTTACTTAAACTTCACTTGAGTTTGCAAGTAGGGACCTGTATATGTGCGTGTGTTTGCATGTGCATTTGTCATGAAGCACATTAATACGTTTATAAATATTTAGAGCAGTGGTAGATGTTGTTGGAGAGCAACTCACATCATCCCTCATCACTGGCCACATTGTCTGGGACTTGGCGGCCAATGGCATCTGCAGTGCATCATGTTGGCAACGCCTGATTTACAACATGGCTGATTCGTTGGTTGTTATATTTCACAGGCTATTAAGTGCCTCTGTGTGGCCACATTCTGGACTAGAAAACTGATGGGAGAACCTAGCGCTGTGTACACACCACACCTTTAAAACAAATTTAAAGCACATTTCTGACTGCCAACCCAAGAATCCTATAAAGTGTAGTTCACCCCTCTCAGAGCTGAAATTCCTAGCACTCTTAACAAACTTCCCAGGATTCCTTGGGTGACTGCAGGCTGGCGCGGCCTTGCACCAGGTGCGCCAGTTTCCCAACACTGTGCAGGCTGGTGCAGCCTTCTGTGACGTTGCGCCGGGCCCCCTCAATATTGGGAGGGGTGTGGGGGCCCTTTAAAACAAATATTGAGGGGGCAGAACACCTTTGCCTCCTAGAGTTTGCATGCCTGGGTGTCTCCACCAGCAGGAGAGGAGGAGTGGCAATTTTGTCTGATTAGCTGTGACGTTCCTGATTGAATATGAGCTCCATAAGTCTCAGGGGCCCTTCAGAACAGGTGGAAGGTGGTATGGGAAACCCCCCTGAAAGGCAAATAGGCCAAAGTAGCTGGGCTCTGTTAGCAGAGGTGCCTTCCCCATCCAAAGCATCCTCTGACCACAAAGGCCCACCATTGGATTCTGCCCTTCGTTTTCGTTCTGTCCGTTTTAAAGAGATGAACATTTTAAAAGCTCTCTCTCTAACCAAAGTTGGCCCTATAGATTACATAATCATAGTCTTCTTTCTTTTGTCCCTCAGGCAGTAGCCATGGGGTGGGGTGGGGGGTTCTTTCCATGCTACACTCCTGTGCATTTCATGTTGCTATTAACCCCCAAGTCACTAAAATGTGCATTCGGTTCGTGTAGAGCAGATGAGAGCGTATGTGCTTTAATTTGTTTTCTCAAGTGCCAAGCCATTATTTTAACCTTTAATTTATACCCTTGTCTGCACAAACCCATGCAGGAATGGAAGCAAGATAAGACAAGTTGGTCTTCAGCATTCTTTGTGTTCTGTTTTGTGCTGCTAGGAAACTCTTTAAAGGGTGAGGCAGGAATTATTCGCACGTATTTCGGTACCTAATGCGGCCAATTTTACATTTTAAAGACTTTGTGAAGTGGTGCCCCATTTATCAATGATTAAGTGAGAAAACAGAACAAAGCAGTGTATTTAAGCTTTCTGCTTAAATGTGCTTAACATGACCATAGTGCTCTTTTAGATTTATAAAGAGAGAGAACTGCAAAGAACAGAAAATAAAATTGAGAGAGATTTTATCAGCCATTCCCATGGTGGTGTCCTCCAGTGGTTGGGGCAGCGGTCAGAGATTATAGGAGCTGTAATCCTGCAACACCAGTAGCCAGAGATTCATTATTCTAGCATCTGTCCTCTGAAAACAAGTCTTGCTTGAACTCCTAATCCAGTTAGGAAACTAAGCAGCCATCCTTTAAACATGCACTTTCTTCATGGTACAAATCCTGTTTCCAGTCAGGGGTTGAGCCCTACAACAGGTCTTGAATCAGTGACTTCCAGGATCTCAGGCAGGGCCTTAACCCAAGTACCACCACCCAGCCATGGCCAAGGATGAGAAGCCTCATGGCAATGATGAGCAATAATGGGTGAGCCTAAGGATATGTAATGAGGGGGCCAGGCGAGCTTCCTTAGAGTGAGCATTCCACAAACACAGAGCAACTGAAATGAAGGCCAGTTCTCCTGTCGCCTCTTTCCCAGACCTCTTGTGGACGAGCTGTGAAAAGAAGAGCTTCAGATGATGATTGCATGGTCTGGGTTGGTTCATATGGGGGAAAGGCAGTCCTTTCTGCCCTGAGGTGTTTAAGTCTTTATAAGTCAAAACCAGCATTTTGAACTGGGCCTGGAAATGAATTGGCAGCCTGTGGAGTCAGGCCAGGATCAATATAATATTCTCAAACTGTCTTGCCCCAGTGAGAAACCTGGCTGCTGAATTCTGCACTAGCTGAAGCTTCCGAATCATCTTCAGAGGAACCCCTATGTATAATGTGTTAAAGTAATCCAGCCTAGAGGTTACCAGAGCACAGACAGCATAAGTTAGGCTATCCCTGCCCAGATAGGGGTGCAGCAGGGCCACTAGTCAAAGCTGATGGAAGGCACTCCGTGCCACCGAGGCCACCTGAGCCTCAAGCAACAGGAAATGGGTACCCCCAAGCTGCATACCCACTCATTCAGAGGGAGTGTAACCCCATCAAGATCAGGCGCCCTCTCATCCATTTGGTCTAGGGAACAACCCACAAACCAGCCATAGCCATAAAGGCTTCATAAAACAAATCCACCTTAGAAAGTGCACGGTTACCATGCTCTCAGCAGCCAAATCTCAAGAAATTAAAGAAGCACAATGGTTAAATTTCTTCACACACTCATAAAATTTATTTATGAAAATGAGTGGATTCCTAATTCTGGCTTCTCTCCCTTGAAGGCCTCTAGGGCTTGATAATAATTCTCTTCAATGTCCTCAGGGGAATCTCTTCTGGATTGTTTAGTTTCTCACGTTAGGACTTGTGTCTCTGGGTGGAGTTATTCCATTTATTTTTAAGTGGTCTAAAATAATGGCAGGTGTCAGCAATCCAAAATACCACCATAAATAATGTCTTCCTTGAGCAAACAGGCAATTATTTGAGGCCCTTTGAAGCTATCACATTTTGGGGAGGGGGGGGGACAGGGATATAAAAGCAACTAAATATTTCTTGTATGTTTTCCATGTTGCACACATCGTAACTGCTTTATCAGAAGTGGAGCTGTGCCAGCAAACTATATTGCTTTAGCTTTCTCATTTGGTTCATTCTGTTTATTAAAACAACATTATCTGCTTCTTAGGCATGAAGAACATGACTTCTTGATCATGGCAAAGTCAGAGTTTGGCTTAAGATCAGATTTGCATAGCTAACACATCCATGTGACATCCACTCACACATCTATTATCAGTGGAGATGAATGGTGAAACAGTTGGGGAGACGCTATGAATAAGACACCATGTGCCAACAACAGCACTATCAGAAATGGAATTTGATGGCACTGCTTGATTTAAGAAGCATTCGTATGAACCTCTGTGCCTAGCTCCTTGATTTATTATGAGTTCACCTCTCAAAGGATGAAGATTAAGAGAGGGTTTTTTGTTTACAATAAATGATTGTAAAAGTTGTTCAATCTCCCAAATCAATTTAAAAGCAAGTTGTTGTTGTTTTTAAATCGGACTGGTAGCTCTCCACTGGGTAACAAGATCAGCTGACTGCCCTCAGTCTGTGAGGTTAGCTGATAAGATTCAGGCTAGTCCTACAGCCCAGAGGATGCCTATAGAGCCTAGTCTGACTGGCTGGTCAAAGATTCAGGGCACAGAAGTAAAGCCCTGAAGGCTGGCTTCCGCAAGCCCCAGTTGAAGACCTCCCTTGGAGTCCTACAGATCTAACACAGCAGATTTGTGTCACTTTCTGCCTCCTTGAAGCTTTAGTAGTACAGAAGGCAGTTTTCCATAAATTTGGAAGTGAGTTCTGTCACACTCCACCTGTCTTATTCTTTGGCATGCAACAAAGTCCAAACAACAGAATAATTTGCTTTATGTATTATGAATAATCAATGACATGCTGAAAAAGGAAGATGTGAGGAAGATGGATCTCATGGAAAAAGTGTCCAGCTGCACAAATTCTATCTCAGTCTCATGACATTATTTTTTGTTGTTGCAAAAATTAAGCAAGCGCACTGCTACTTACACCCTATCACATCCAGAGCCATACAAAAACCCCACAACATAAATACCATACATTTTTTTCTATTCCCCGTTTTGTCTTTCTAATAATTTTTATTGATTACAAAAAAAACAAAAAACAAAATAGAACAACTCTGATGGAACAGATTACAAGAAAACAAAATAGAACAACTACATAATGGAATCCAGTTACAGACATAAAACACCCAGGACTGAGTCAGACTAGATCACAGCAAATGACTTAATAGAATCACAGAATTGTAGAGTTGAAAAGAACCATGAGGATCATCTAGTCCAACCCTCTGCAGTGCATCTTCTGCCCAACGTGGGGCTTGAACCCACAACCCTGAGCTTAAGAGTCTCGTGCTCTTCCAACTGAGCCATCCCATTACCAGTTTTGTGTGATCAGTATGCACCAAAGTAAGCCATGAGTATTAGGAAGTCCTGGGAATGTTAAGTCCTTATTTAAAAAGAGTGGTAAAAAATAAAGTCCAGAATCCGTCAGACCAATCTTTCTCCAGTTCACTTCTCATCACCTGTCTGTGTCATGTAAGAGACAGTGATGTATCCCAGACATTACTGAACCACAATTCCTTAGGTGGCATTAAACATGACTTCCATAACTGACCAATGATAATCTGAGTCGCCACCAGTAAAAACAAGACTTGATCTTCATGCTTAACTGTCTGTTTAAGGTCACTTTCCGAGATAACAATGCTAAGGAAGGGTCAAGCAACCCGTTATTGATGAAATGCTGTCAAACATCCAAGACTAAAGCACAAACACATTAACTGTTATGCACTCCCACCATGCATGAAAAAAATCCCAGTTGCTCCACGCACCCTCCAGCACTTGGGGACAGCTTTGTTTATTTTAGAAAGTTGAAGTGGGGTTCAGTGGCACCTAAGCAGAGCCTTAAAGGTTTCTTCTTGGATTTGTGTGGATATTGTTTTCAAAGGAGGTCTTGTCCATACTTTGTTCCACACTTGATTATTGATTTGCAGCTTTAAGTTCCCTTCTCAAAGCAATTTCTTTTCCAATGCCCATAGCAACAGATTGCAGCTACTCTGGACATTCTGTGTATTAATTTTTTTACATGGGTGAAGGTGACCGGTTTATGGCAGACTAGTAATTTAATTAAGCAAAAGGTCTTTACCAAGTGGTGTTCCAAACTCTAATGAGTTTTGCATTTTAAAACTTTTGGTTCCCTGTATGTGCTGTGGTTTGGCAAAAGATGTGCAAACTTCAAACAACTTTGCAGTTTTCCTTCAAAATGTTTGGTTTTTGCACATCCCAGGTAAGCATGCATAGGATGGCACAATGATGCGGTAAAAAACCGAAGCTCATTCTTTTGTTGATTCTCAGTGTTGAGACCATTTAGCCTACCATTTCCCCTCAACAAACATTTTGCTCCTGTACTTTAAAATATGTTTAGATGTAACTCTTCTCTTTCTCAAATATGCTTTGTCATGTTCCTAAAACAAGGACAATGGTGAAAAGGGTGCAAGATTAATTTTCTATTTTATTTATATTTGGGGGAAGGTTTGACTTCTCTGATGGAAACTCATAATATTATAATCTGGGTGATTTAGGCTGCAGTGCTGGAGAGTAAGCCCCACTGAACTTAGTGGGGCTTACTTTTAAGTAGATGTGTATAGGATTGTGTTGTTATTCACTTGGTCCCCTGGGAAGGTTCAAACACCCCTTTTTACTATAGCAATTAGGGGTTCTGATTATTAAAATGTCACTTTCAGAGATTGTTGACAAATTCCAATAGACTCATCTATTTTACCCCAATGTTACGAAGAGGTAGCTTTTTGGAGGATGCATTCTGGCTGTAAAATCTATTACCTGTCATCCTCACATACATGCCCTTTTCAAGCTGAAAATATTATTTGAGCACCTAGGCTTCTGGAGTTACAGCTGAGTTTACAGAGTTACACTAGCCAGGTATTTTTTACTGGCAAAACACAGAGGGGGAAAAGACATCAATGAATGCAGTCAACTAGGATAGAAAACAGAAAAAAGGATTAGAGTTCTATTTTCTCTTCCTGTGTTTTGTTTCTTGATGATAGCCTTCAATAACAGACATATGGCCACAATCATGATGATATGCACTTTCCCCAAATGGTTGATTTCTGATCTTATAAGAAAAATATTCCAGAACAAAAAAATATATATATTAGGAGGAAAACTTCAAAAGGTGATAAACAAAATTATACGCAGGTGCACTTAGATGTCTTCCACATTCCACTTCAAGGAAGTTATAAGTTGCTTCCAAACTATTACTATTTTGCAGGAGAGATTCAATTGCATGCTGGAAATTTAGGTTTGCACAACTGAAGTGAATTGAAGTGCTTTAACAAAAACAAAACTTTTTGCAGTTAGGAAAGTGACAAGGAAATGTGCTTAAATGTGGGGATTGCGGTAAACTGATAGAGAGAACTATAAGCTCATTGCAAACAGATCAGGATGAATGTGCAATAAAGAGCAGATATCGTATAACCAAATCAGGATGAATTCTCAATAGGCAGATTATTTGGGGGAGACCCTAGCTAGGGTTGCCATGTGTTCTCTTTTCCCCGGACAAGTCCTCTTTTCCAGGGATAAACTTTGGGACAAATTGCATTTATTTGCTTTGAATGGCTGTCACAGCATCCTCATTTTTGCTCTTCAAAATATGGCAACCCTACGGCCTATGCATCACCATAAGCAGTAACCTCTTCTGACTAAGATGCTTCTCCCTCGAGATAAGCACCAGTCAGGGAGTGGTTTGATCTCTGCACAGCTGACATTCTTTATAATCTTAAAAAGGAAAAGTTAAAGGGACTCCTGACCATCAGGTCCGGACGTGGCCGACTCTGGGGTTGCGGCACTCATCTCGCTTTATTGGCCGAGGGAGCCTGCGTACAGCTTCCGGGTCATGTGGCCAGCATGACTAAGCCGCTTCTAGAGAACCAGAGCAGCGCACGGAAACGTCGTTTACCTTCCTGCCAGAGCAATACCTATTTATCTACTTGCACTTTGATGTGCTTTCGAACTGCTAGGTGGGCAGGAGCAGGGACTGAGCAATGGGAGCTCACCCCATTGCAGGGATTCGAACCGCCAACCTTCTGATCGGCAAGTCCTAGGCTCTGTGGTTTAACCCACAGCGCCTTTATGTGTCCAATAAGCCGACTGGTCTCTGGATTGAGAGCAAAGGGAAAACAACACTACCCTAGAATTGTAGAATCGTAGAGTTGGAAGGGACCCTGAAGGGCATCTAGCCCAATCCCCTGCAATGCAGGCATCTCAACTGAAGCATCCAATACAGATGGCCATCCAACCTCTGCTTACAAACCTCCAAGGAAGGAGAGGCCACCACCTCATGTGGAAGTCTATTTCACAGTTGAATGGCTCTTACTGCCAGAAAATTCTTCCTGATGTTCAGTCAGAGTCTACTTTCTTGTAACTTGTATATCCTTCATTCTTCATTTCTCATTTCTTCCATTGCTTATGCACGACCTTCTTACATCTCAGCTCTTGCATAAGCTCCGTATTCAGTGTAAAACAGCACGCTAGCAATCTGCGCTGCTGGTGAAGATGCTGCAAAATGTGACATTCTTTTGCCTCTGAAAACACTCTTTGCAAGCCCATGCTGCAGCAGAAGGATTTGAGATGACTGGCCGAGTCTTTAAAAAGAAGGAAAGAAGGAAAATCACTTCAAGGGGTTGGCTGTCACAGGAGTGTCTGCTCCTCAGAAACCTGTAACAGATAGCCAAAAAGTTGACTGCCTCCATCCTCCCGCCAAAAACGGATCACCTTTTATGTCCCGCTGTACTGATAAAAATCTGTTGCCTGAATTCAGTGAGGTAATGGTATGCATACAGTGGTGTTGTGACATTGAGATTAGGCCCTGGATGCATTTATGCCTTAGGAAAACCACCTCATGAGCTGTGGTGGGTCTGTTCCCACCCCCGCCCCCAGCCCTTGACTGCAGCATCTGGATGGAAGTGTGAAGTCAATCCTATGTGGGGTTTTGCTGGTGATATAAGGAAATATTTTGCAACAGTTCAGCTCCCAGCACCTGCATGGGAGCTGCTAATATGCCATAGAGCATTTTGTCCATTTTGTAATTTTATTAACCCTTTCCTCAGCCACATTACGCAAGCCTCAAGTGAGCAGAGTATCTCTGGTGGCCCCGGACTAAAGACCTTTCACAGCAGCAACAATCACCACGAGGGGCCGTGTGCTAAGCTGAGGCAGGCAGGAGTTCCATGAAAGCTGTGGTTTCTAGGAATCTAGATCCAGACAGTGGTCACTGTAGCACTGTGGCCTGGCAAGTCTGAGTAGTGATGGCAAAAAAGCAGTGTGTGTGCCTGGATGAGTGAGGTAGGCTGGTGGGGCGAAGCTCTCATATTGCTTCGAAATAACCCCACCAGTTCTTTGGCTGAAAGCTTCTAGTCAGTTTTATGGAGTGACAAGAAGTTCTAGTCAATTTCTCTCTGTCTACTTTCTGCTTCCATTCACAATCTTATAAACATCTTTTGCGGCCCCCTCACACTTTTATTGGCTAAAACACTAAGGGAAGTAGGATTTCAGCATCTCCCTCATGTTTAGTCCAATTGTTACAAATGTTTTTTAAAACATGCGTCACTACTGAATTGTCATCTGCCCCATGGTGTGGAGACAACAGCTTTATCTGCAGAAATAGACAGGTGGAGTTTTCACGGCATGGAGAGAAGCTGGAACACCTGCTAAGGCTTGCAGATCAGATTGACAGCACTAAATTGTGAATCAAGGGAACAATTATGTGAATGGTGTTTTTTTTTTTTTGTCAAATCCATTTTGACAGCTGATGAAAGGAAGTTACATTTTTCTGTCTTATATTCCTTTAATTCCCCGCAATAATATCATAAAGCATACAAAGAACAGTCATATGTAGTTCTTTTAGCTTTGGTAGTGATTAGGTCCAAAATCAACAGTATTAAATCTCAAATGCACACAGTGTATTTATAGTGATTCTATTTACATATTCTTTTGTGGCTTTGAATCCAGACTCGCCTCTGGTTTTTACATCTGTCTCTGTCTGTATCAATATTTCTCAAAATGGGAGTGGAGCGGGGGGGATACATTTATAACACACACATGCAGGATCTAGTCCAACACAATTGTCCAGGCACAAATATAAGGGTTATTTTAAAAGAAAAGGATGAGTTCCAATTGAAAGGCACTGTGTACATGTAGTACAATTGCTTCAGGCAACTGTCTGCCTGGTGACTTTCAAGAGAGGATGGAACTGATTGTGCAGAGTTCAGTGGAAACCTCTTTTCTGCTTAGAAAGGGTAACTTTCCCCTGCCATTTAGTTTTGGTTTCAAGGCTCTGTGTTCATTATACTGGTCTCAG